ACACCTTGTCTCTCACTGAGCCATCACTCAGAAAAATCACATTATCTGAAACAAAATAAAAAATAATCTTGAGAATTGTTTTGCCCTGTTGCAAGCCTTCACACCACAAAGACTAGCTATTTGTTAAAATAAGTTGCTAAAATGTGTTTTTTGGAACAGAATGACAGTTCATAAAACAAAACAGTGTCCAATATAGGGCTCTTGTTCTACCTCCCCTGAGAGGTGACAATTCGAGATAGCCATAAAAAGTATGAAACAAAGGTGCTAAAGCTAATGAGAAACTGCTGAACACTCAAAGACACTAGAAACAGTTTAAAATAATGGTTTAATTCCTTRACTACAATCTCTAACAGTTACAGCTTTTTTCTTTTTTCTTTTGACATTTTCAGACTGCGCTACTATTTCATCAAGCCTCATAAACYTCTAAAGCACCTTGAGACTGGGCCTTTTGAACAAAAAACCATTAGAATACTAATTAAAAAAAGAGAACTGCTTCTCCCCTCCAGTAATTTATATCACTGCTAGCTGAACTGCTCAAGTGACAGTTTGACTGCTGTTGTCTTTAAAGAGGCAGAAACATCCAGGACTATGACTGTTATTTTTCCTTTCTTTTGTCCTTCCTTTTCCTGTCCTAGTTTTTTAAAACATACTTGTGTAACAGAAATGCTCTACTACACAATTAATTTAACCCTCACTCAAAAGCAACACAGTAGCAGCTCTACCCACAATGAAGATGTAGGATGCTCAGGCTATTTAAAGGCCTAAGGAAAAAATTCCTAGTTTTCTTTGTTGTGTTCGTCCAAGGCACAAGTTTTGGACAAACTCATCCAGTCTGTGCTCTTCTTACTACTAGTGGATACCAGAATAAAATATTTCTAAATTCTCCATTAAGTTATCTGCACACAAAACATCTTTCACAGATGCCCTTAATGCTGGTTAAGTCTCCAGTTTTAAACAGGAAGAAAACAAAGTTACTAAACAAGCTTTGCTTAGAAAAAGAATCCGCCTGACCTGCAACACTGCACACCAGTGTTCCTAAAACASTCAATGTCTGCCTCCTGCATCAATCAGGATAAGCAAATATCACCAACAGTTTGCAATTGTATAACCTCAACCTCTGTGCGTTCACAAGCTAGAGGAATCTACTGATGCAGACTACCTATTTTCTCAAAATCCTTGAGTGTGGATACTGAGAATGAAGACAAACCAAGCTCTATTTCAGAGGCCCTCCACCCCCTTTCTATTTTTAAAGGGCAAAAGGCACCTTGGTGTTTTGCTGCTTACCTGCTATAATTGTTGTGGCCTGTCGCCTCACATTGTTCTTATCTGTATATTCACCATAATCTATTTTCCCTTCAACAAAGATTCGAGCACTGAAAAAACACAA